GTAGCTCAGATGGAGCAAGTTAAGCTCGCCATTAGAGAAAAAGAACAAAAAGAAAGGTAGGGGGACGTGCTGCTGCAGCTGCTGTTGCTGCTGCTGTTGCTGCTGCTGCTGCTGCCTCTGCTGTTCTTGATTTTGCTGCTGTTGTTGATTCTCCTGCTGCTGTGGCCCTAGAGGAGACATGATGGCAGCAGCACTTGAGGAAGCGCGTCTTTGCTTCGACTGACGCGCAGCAGCAACTGCAGCAGCAGCAGCAGCAAGAGTTTCTTTTTTGCTGCTGCACGAGTCTGGACCGTGGAGCAGCCGCAAGAGCAACAGCAGCACAAGCATTAGCAGCAGCGTTAGCATTAGGAGCAGCATTAGCAGCAACGTTAGCATTAGGAGGAGCAGCAGCAGCAGCAGCAGCAGGAGCAGCATAATATGCTTGTGAGTGTGGCTGCTATAGGATGCGTCTGCTGAAGGAGAATGACATTGAAGCGTATACGAAGCTGGTGCAGCAAACAAAAAACGAGAGACTACAAGAGCTGCTGCGTGCAACAGAAGAATTTCTAGAGTCTCTTGGACGCAAGGTGCAGATACAGAAGATGGAGACAGACAGACTGCAGGCGCAGTCTCAGCTGTACGTACACCCCACAGTAACTGTCTCCTTTTCGGGCTTACGCTGTCTCCCCGTATAGCTTAATTGCTGCTGCAGCAGCAGCTGCTGCTGCTGCTGGTTGACTTGCTGCTTCTCCTGCCTGCTTTGCTGCTACTTTTGTTTCTAGTACTCGTGCTGCTCCTACTGCTGCTACTTCTCCCTCTCCTGCTGCTACTGCTGCTGCTGCTGCTACTGCTGCTGCTGCTGCTGCTGCTGCTGATGTTACTGCTGCTGCTGCTGTTGCTGCTGGTGCAGCGGTGGAAAGGGTGGAGAGAGCAGCAGCGAGTCTGCAGCAGGGGCGAAGACATCAGGCGAAGAAGAAAAGAAGAGAGACAGTTATTATACTCTCTCGCATGCAGTTCGTGAAGAAGTGCAGCAGCCTCAATCTCTAATTGGGGGCACCTTAATGCCTTATCAAATGGCTGGGCTGCAGTGGATGCTCTCGCTCTATAACAACAACCTACACGGCATACTAGGTCTGCTGCTGCTGCTGCTGCTGCTGCTGCTGCTGCTGCTGCTGCTGCTGCTGCTTCATGCGCTGATTGACCTGCTGTTGCTTCTGCTGCTGCATGCGGTGCTTGATATGCTGCATTTTCTGCTGCTGGTGAATGCTTTGATTGCCCTGTTGCTGCTGATCTGTCTGCTGCTGAATGCATGCGCTGCTTGACCTGCTGCTGCTGCTGCTGCTGCTGCTGTTGCTGTGACGTGTGTGTACAGCGGACGAGATGGGTCTAGGAAAGACGATTCAGACGATTGCATTGCTAGCCTATTTAAAAGAGTTTAAAAATAACGCAGGGCCTCATCTTATTATCGTCCCTCTCTCTACTCTCTCTAACTGGGCAGACGAATTGCAGCGATGGGCTCCTTCTTTAAAGGTTATGATCTTCAAGGTAATTATAATATTAATTATAATTATAATTATAATTATAATTGTTATTATTATTATATTAATAATTATATTAATAGTAATAATAATAATAGTAATTATAACAGTAATAATAGTAGTAATAGTTATAGTAATAATAATAATAATAATTATATTAATAATTATATTAATAGTAATAATAATAATAATTATAATAATGGTAATAATAATAGTAACATTTATAGTAATAATAATAGTTATAGTTATAGTAATAATAATAATAATGATAATACTAATACTAATAATAGACGTTTATATTAAGTATCATTGATATAGATTATAATAATGCATATATATATATATATATTTATGCTTTATTTATATATTTTATATATATTTATATTAATAGGTATGCATTAGTTTGTGTTGTCTGTTCGTTTGTTATTTTTATTATTATTATCTTTGGGGCTTTTTATGATATTCAAGGCAGTGTTTATTATATTATTATAATTGTCTCTTATATATATATGTATATATATGTATATGTATATTATATATATATACATATATACATATCTATGTATATATATATATATATATATACATATATTTATATACATATATATATATACATATATACATATATACATATATTGTATTGTCTGTTCTTTTGCTATTATTAATTAGGGTTATTTCTCTGAGAATTTGTTTTGTTTTAGTTTGTATTCATTTTGTCTTGTAGACGAAAATAATATTATTTAGTATATTTGTTTGTAATTATTATGATTAATATAATAAGTACAGCATTTATATAAATATATTAATATATATTTATTTGCTATTCAGTATATTGATGTGTTATGTGCATGCACTTCATTATTAATAGCATTATTAATATTAATATTATTTTTGTAGTATTAGTTATATTATTTTTATAGTATTAATATATTACATTACTGTGAATAATAATAATATTATGTTGGGTTAATATAATATAAATTTTTATACTTACACCGATGAATGCATTAATATAAAAATATTAATATTTATATTAGTATATTAATATAATATTATTATATTACATTAGTATTATTTTTTCTTACTATAATGATATTGCTTCATCATGAGTATAAATAGTATTATCAATATTCATATTAATACAGACGTAAATGCATTAGTATAACATAGGGTTTAGGGTCGGGGGCTAGGGTTTAGGGTTTAGGGTTTAGGGTTTAGGGTTTGTGTTTTAGGGGGCTCGTTTGGAGCGTCGTCAGCTGCAGCGTCAGCTTAAGCAAATAGATTTTAATGTTTGTCTGACTACATTTGATCTTGCTATAAGAGAAAGAAACGCACTTGCAACCCCCAGCTGGAGAGTAAGTAAAAGGAGACTGTCTCCTTCTCACTCAGGTGTATATTTGTCTCCTTCGCTCTCTTCGCTGTCTCCGCTGCTCTCTCTGTCTCTTCTTCCGTTCTTTTGTCTCCTTCGCCTGCCCTCTTCTCCAGCATCAAATAAAGAAATATATGTTTTGTGTTATATATATATATATATATTCTTCGTTGTTCGCTTCTCATATAAATAACATATACCTACATATATATATATATATATATATTTTTGTATGTAGTCTTTGCGTTGGTTTCCAGCGTAAGTATCTGTTGTTTTTATTGTTTATTGAATATATATTATTTATTGTTTGTCTCTGTCACAAATATGCACAGGGTTTATTATATATCTACCTATATATATATATAGATACATAAATCATTATATTTGTTTATTTATATATATTTGTTTATACATATATATTTTATATATATATATATATTTTTAGGTGTATATAATATACTGTTGTTGCTGCAGCACTTGGTAGTGGACGAGGGTCATCGAATGAAGAACAGCAAATCGAAGTTTCATTTATCTGTCTCTTCTTTTTCTGCTTCTCATCGTCTCCTTTTAACGGGCACCCCTCTTCAGAATAATTTAACAGAGCTTTGGTCTCTCCTCAACTTTCTTCTTCCTAAGATCTTCTCATGTGCAGATGACTTCGAGAGGTTTGCAATACACCTCAACAGGGTTTAGGGCTTAGGGTTTAGGGTTTAGGGTTTAGGGCTTATGAGGAGGTGCGGGGGCAGTTCAGTGCTGTTTGCGGTTTACTTTAGGGTCTAGGGTTTAGGGTTTAGGGTTTAGGGTTTACGGGGGTATGGATTAGGGTTTCAGTGCTTTGTGTGGAGGGGATAAGGCTTGGGGGTTCGTAGGGCTTACTTTAGGGTTTAGGGTTTAGGGTTTGAGTGTTTAGGGTTTAATTTGTTTATTGTGTCTGTGTATTGTGTCTCCTGTCTCCTTTTCACTCGTTGTGTGTCTGTCTGGCTCGTTTAATGTGCTGTCTCCTTTATTTATTTATTTATTTATTTATTTGTTTGTTTGTCTGAGGAGACACTTCATTTGTCTCTATATATATTTTGTCTCTTTATATTACTAAGGAGACAGTTTATTTGTCTCTTTCTTCTCTTTGTTTTACTACGGAGACACCTTCTTTGTGTCTTTTCTTTTATCTTTTCTCTGTCTCTTTATTTAAATAAGGAGACAGTTTATTTGTCTCTTTATTGTTCTTTATTTGACTAAGGAGACAGTTGATTAGTCTTTTTCTTTTCTTTATATATATATGACTAAGGAGACAGTTGATTTATCTCTTTCTTCTCTTTATATGACAAAGGAGACAGTTTATTTATTTGTTTATTTTGTCTGTCTCTTTATTGCAGGTGGTTTAGTCAGCCCTTTGAGGTGCACGGGATGTCTCCAGATAGAAGTCAGGAGACAGCCAATGGGGGAAGCTCTTTATTAAATGAAGAAGAGCAGCTGCTTGTTATTCATCGTTTGCATGCAGTCTTAAGACCCTTTCTTTTAAGAAGAATTAAAAAGGATGTTCTTAAAGACATGCCGGAGAAAAAAGAATACTTAGTGCATATCCCCCTCACAGAGTGGCAAAGACTTGTATATAAAAATCTACAAGATAAAGGACTCACGTACAAACCCTAAACCCTAAACCCTAAACCCTAAACCCTTAACCCTATAATTGTGTATGCGCGTTTGTTTCTGCATCCTTGTCTTTTAATATCGCCAGAACT